ACCGATGCGGATAGACGAAGAGAAGAAGAGAGAACTATAGTGGTTGAAAAAAATGCCACCTTAGATTGCGTATATGCCTGCCACCACCACCACAACCAGCAACAGCAGCAGCAACACCACCAATACCACCAATAACACCGTCAGCATCATCACAGCATTTATTGAATCATTTAATTTTTTTCTATTCCCCATTTTCTACTTCTAAAAAAATATGAAAAATAATATTGAAAAATATAAAAAATTATGCAGAATTTTGCAGCTGTAGTCAACAATCAAACTGTTGTAAGTTTGGTGAAAACAAAATTCAGACATAAATGTATTCAGAAAGAAATTCTACATTTATCAGCAGTCGCCTAGAACAGCCATTTTTGGTCATGCGAGAATACTGTTGCTACAAAATAGGCGGTGCAATTTTCATTTGGTTGCTCACTCATTGACAAATTTGTTTCACATACTTGTTCATTTGCGGGTACTGATGCTGACGATGATCACGGAAACTGTTCGCAAAAATCAGTGAAGGAGAAAAAATGCGTTTGAGAAAGGGATTGTTTTGACCGTGAAATGTGCGATGCCATTAGTGACAGAGGCGTGTAATACCTGAGAAAAAGCTCCTTTCTCCTACTCCGTATTATTTTCTCTCTTCCTCTTTCTCTCCTCTCTCCTTCCTTTTTTGTTTTTACTTCAGTTTCCTTCCCTTTCTTTTTTTTTTACTTTGCCTCTACCAACCTTTCTATAGTTCCTCTTCACCGACAACCCACCTACAAGCCATCAGAGTACATAAAAAGAAGGAGTTTTAACAACATTATCATCATAACCGGTGCTGTTATCATTGCCAGGAATCAATCAAAATCAACTGACACACTGTACAGCAATTACTGTCGACCAACAACAAAACTACAACTCATCAAAAAATTCATTATGAGTGTTACTTAAACTGTGTGAGAAATTTTCAACTTTTCTATTTAGATGGCGAAGAATGTTAAAATAACAACAACAACAAAAACAAAAGAGCATAAAAGCGTCAACAATTATTTCAACTTAAACTAACATTAGATCGTTGTTTTCAGACAGAATTTGGCTAGAGGAAATAGATCAGGATGTTTGGCGTTACAAAGCACAAGTCTTCTTTTTGTTGTTGTCTTGTTTTGCTCTGATTTCAAATAAAAAAGTAGAATGATGATGGGTAATGTATCAGACGAATGAAAACAAATAGATCTTGTTCAATTATGACAAACAACTAAGCATAAAAGACTAACCTAATCACTGATAAAATAACAACATAAAATTGAAAAGGAGGAAAAAACAAAGACAAAAATAAAGCAAAAACAGAAGTATAAAGATAATGATGCAGCAGTTGCAGTAACAAAAGCTAACATAAATAGCAAAAAAAAAAGCATGTATTGGTAGCAAATCTAAGTATGCCTATTGAATTTTGTGATTAAAAAAAGTGCTATTAGAGCAAGACTGTGAAAAAAATCGTGGTTTAGTGTTAGTGTGCTATTTTTCTCCTTCATACTTCTATACAATTATGTTGTTGTTGCTGAAGTCGTTAATTAATGAAAACCAATGAAGACAAAAGAAACACCGTTAAAATACGTTGTTTCTTCTTCTTTAAAGGGCTAAACAGATGAAAAGATGTCAATAATCGACACAGTTTTTCATCTAGAAAAAAAAAAGAAAGATGACAATAACGACAAAGAAGACCATGAAGATGGCACTGGCAAAAGCCAAGATCAAATCTAAAGAAGGTAAGCCATCAAACAGAACGAAAAAAAATAGAAGCAAATAACGATCTAAATCCTCTTCCCAGTAAAACTGCATAAAAAAAAGCTTACTGGCCAGATCCAGAGAACGTCATCCAAAGAACAGCCCTTATAGTCAAAAAGAACTTTGATTTAACTGAGGAGAAGACAGAAAAAAATTGAATCAAAAAAAATCTTTTTTGCATAAGCATACAAATTTATTTCTTCATTTCCTCCATCACATCTGAAAAATTATATTTGTTAACTTTTTTAGCTGCTTAACAGTTAAAATTTGAATGCCACAATCTCCAGTGTGCAATATGGTTGTCATCATTAGAATCTTTAACCACTTACTACCATCAGTAGCACAAACTAACACAGTCATCTTTAGCATCATTGCTGTTGTTCTTCCTTATCTTCATCACTAATTTTGAACTCTTCTTATGACTAACATTTCATTCCTCCCCCCTCCCTCCTTCCCCTTTTCCCTATCCAGTCCTAATTCAGTCGACGACACTCTTGTGGTAATTTCCTTAACAACATAAAGAATAGACATATCAATGCTTCTGCATCGTTCTCAGCAACTTCATTATGAGGCAAGCTCTATCTATAATCTTAACTTAATCATCAACAACAAGAATAACAACAACCCAACAGAGAGCATACATACACACCCTATTCAAACCACACAGATCTATGTATAGCGGCGACACAGAGAGAACAAGGGAAAAAGAAAAAAAGTAAAAATGCAAATAACCTTTCTAATTTTCAGTATTAAAAAAAAAAAATTTTTTTTACTTCTTACATTTTTTTCACTATATATATATTTTTTCTTCTGCTGATAATATAAATATCTATAATGCATATAAATAATATTCGTGTATAAAATGATTGGAATAAATTTGTTGGTTGTGTGAGAAAAAAAAAAAAAGGAGGGGGTGAGAAATGAAAGTTGGAAGACAAAATTTTTATGAAGAGTAGAAGAAACTGAAGAGGCGACGATGATATTCCACCGACGGCAGCCAATCGTTGTTGGCCGCCCCGCCTAGTAGTCAGTTGGTGACACGTCTTTTGCGACGGCCAAACACGGGCGGGCGGGGTGCCAGTGGAGCGACAGAGAAGAGAGGGGAAGAGAGGCAGAGAACAAGGGCGATATTGAGCGGCAGCACTCGATTATTGTGAATTACGGTGTCGGTGATGATCGGTGCTGAACACCTCCACAAACTATGGATGCACATTACGTTCAACTCACTTCAGGTATCTATCTATTTATCTATCGCACTACCTATCCACCTATTTACCCATCCATTTATCTATCCATCTATCCACCTATTCATTTATCCACCTATCCATTCATCCACCTATTCATCATCTACCTATCTATCCATGCATCCATCCGTATACCCATCCATCTTTCATCTATTCATTCATCCACCCAACGAATTCAACAAATTTTATCTATCTAAGTAACAAATCGACTAAATAATTTACTATTTCTTTCTATTAAAAATTTCATCTGCAAAAAAGAAAAATATTTCAAATAGTTGTGAATATTAAATTTTTCTTTACTTCGTTTATGTTTGATTTTTTTTATTATTTATTATTTTTAATTTTTTTATGATTTGTTTACATGAAACTTTCGTTTATAATTTACAAATAGTTCCTCTTTTCTCTTTACAGTTCTATTTTCAAAAATTTTTATTCTAAAAAAAAAAACACATTTTTGCTTGTCTTTCCTGTTTCTTCAATTTTTATTTGCATTTTTCTTGTTTCTTCTCTTTTTTCTTTTTTTTTCTACTTGTCTTTTTTTGAACGACAAGTTCCAGTAAAGGTTTTTTTTCTTTCATTGCTTTTAAAGCTTGATTTTAATGGGTAAAATTTTTTGTTGTTTTTTATTTTTTCTTTCGCTGATATTACATAATTTTAATGTCTTTAGTAAAAGTTATGAATCTATTTTGCTTAAAATTGAAATTGGGAGGGTTTTCCAGCATTTTTTCATGTTTGTTTTATATTGGCAGTAAAATGCAGACAGTTTTTGAGGTGGCTGGAGAAGGCTTTTTTCTTCTAAGAACAATAGATTTTCTTATGTCTGCAAAAAAAAAAAAAAAAAAAAAAAAAAAA